CCCCACCCCCCCGAAATTGTCTCTGCTGTGTTATGGGGACCATTGTTCTGCCTGCAGATGGCTGGGACGAGCATTCTGCTCTGACACTCTGGTAACAACACTGGAGTGTGGGTGGGTGGGAATGGCCCAGAATGCGGTGGCAGTGGTGGCAGGGAAAGGGCAGGGGCGGACACTCAACTGGGCATGAAACTCAGCTGTGAACTATGGCTCTTTTGTTCCTGTTGAGGGCTGGTTTTCCTTTTGGGTGGGAGGGGAGGACTTTGGTTTAGAAAGCATCTCTGCCACTTGATACACCTGCTTTTTCAAATCTTACATCACTAATTTTTGGCTCATTTCCTTTGACAATGGAGGCTCTTTTCTCTCTCCCATTCCCTTCTAACATAGGTGGAATTGTTGGAAGAAGTTCTCTCACTTCTTTTCTTTTGCCCTTTCCTACCTTTCTGTTAAGACTCTCTAGACTTGCACTTTCTGTCTAGATACTCCATGAAGCTCCATCCTCCTCAGAGGAAGGAGAGAAGGTCTGAAGCAATGAGGGAGGTAGGAGGACCTGCCATACAGCAGGCTCTGTGCCCTTGCTGCTCTTCCTCCTTTGTTTCTCCTGACATGTTGCTGTTGAACACCAGCAATTCTGAAGTGACAGGCATTCTCCAGGCCTGCTCAGAGCCAGATTTCTGCTAGTTGGCAGTGGGGTATGAATGTGCTCTTTGGCATGGCAAGCCAGGTCCTCAAGGAGCAGTGGAGGAAAAGGCAGGAATTTCTAGTCTCTCAGAGGTATAAAGGGTTCCCATCTCTCCATGAATGTCACAGGTCAGATGTCTTCCCCACCATACACACCTATGCTCAGTCTGCCCTTGTGCAGTAGGTTTGATACTCTCTGTTCATATCTCCCTTACTATGAGGAAGAGACTTGAAGAGGAGCTCAGCAGAACAAGTTCTTCAAGAAGCTTCTGCAGCTCTTCCCAACTGACTTGCACCATGGGGTGTGTGGTGGGTGGGTGTGCATGAGAAGAGTATCACCCAACCTCATTTGCAGGTGGATATGAAGAATAGGATTTCAGTCACTCACCTCACTGGGTTGACAGAAAAGCTACGAAGTGGCTTCCTCTTGAATAGGCCATGGACACTCTGACATGGATAGGAGACAGCCTAGGGTGAAGGTAGAAGCAGAGGAAACAAAAGGGATGTGAGAATGAGGCCTGGGAATAGCCCAAGAGGGATGGCCGCAGAAGAAGCTTCCCTTCGTGAGTGCAGCCTTTGGATGGCACTGTTCCTTTGAATACTTAGACACCCTCATGAGAGTCAGAGCAACATAGCACCTCCTAAATCCTCCACCTTCTCATAACTAGCTGTGACAAACTTTTCTTAGGGATCCTTTAATGTCTTTTCAAAAACCCAGTTTCACTTGCTAGGTCCTGACCTCTGTCCCTTGGATAGATCTGCCACAGAGCTGGAAATTAGGCTACCACCCTCTTCATTTCATTTCATTTCATTTCATTTCATTTCATTTCATTTCATTTCATTTCATTTCATTTCATTTCATTTCATTTCATTTCAAGCAGCCCAACAAAGCACAATCTTGGCATGGTCTACCCCAAAGTTTTCTTGTCAGGCAGGGGTGCTGCCTGCTGAGTGCATGTTTATGCAACACAGTGGGCCTCTTCTCCATGAGTTGTACACCCCAATTCTTGACAATCATCACGTCTATCTGGAAGAGGCTGAAGGCCTGTATTGTGTTGGCCTTTCCTTAGTGTTTTTTTTTGCTTTCTGAGGTGCTCTTCAGAAGCCCCAGTGTTTTTGGGGGCCCTGGGAGAATGATGAGGGTGTAGGAGCTTCTCTTTGAGGGATTTACATGCTACCTGCAGAGAATATGCCCATTATCTGGCAGATAGTAGCACTGCCAGCTGTGAGAGCTGGTTCCTATGCCACAGGTGACATGACTTCATCTTTTGTAAGTGAGGAGCAGCAGCAGGCAGAGCCTGGTGTGTGAAAACCAGAGGGGGGATCTCCAAGGTCTAAACCTGTGCAGATCTGTAGGGTTCCTTCCTTATAGGGATGCTGATGGTAACAGTCCTAAGCCAGGTCCTGATCCCATAGCTTCAGCCTCCTTCACTGTCAGCCTGATTCCCCATAGTCAAATCATCATTTTGCCTTGAATCCAGAGGTATTCATGGGACTCTCTACACTGTAAGAGCCAGTCCAACCCAGAGAAAGGAGAGTGTATGTGTGTGTGTATGTATGTGCAGAAGGATGGAGAGTCACATCACTGCTGCCAGTCATCCCTCCATGTTGGGACAATGCAGCAAATCAAGACAGGTAAATGCTGTGAGAGATGCTTAGGCACAGCAAAGACCTCTCCAGCTACCATGTGGAGCAGACTCAGCGGTCTTCCATCATGGCAACAATCCAAGCAGGAAAGACTAATGACTGGGGCACAGAACTGGACAGGAAAAGGGGGACACAGGCACAGGGGGAGGGAGCCCTGTTCCTCTCTCCACCTCTTCCCTCCCTGTGCTTCTCTGCTGTATGGTCTTGTAATCAGTTCCATTCAGTCTATACTTCTGGGGGGAGCATTAACCTGCAATGGTTATGCTCCCTTCCCCCATCACCCCAGTGAGGCAGAAAAGAAAGGTCAGGGATACAGCTATCATGAGGCCCATCTTTTGCCTGTGGTGGGGATAAGGCTGGGTAGGAGGCACAAGCCATTTCTCTCCCAACTGTAGCCCCCCACTCCAAACCAGTGGGTGAAGTTTGCACAAGATGGACTGTTCTGTGGGAGGAAGAGGGCAAGGAAGGGGAACAAAGTATCTCACCTTCCTTCCTCCTCCCTTCTTCCTTGTCCTGCTGCCTCCCCAGGGGCGAGGGCTCGCAAAATCCTGCCAGCTCTGTTGGAGGAAAGCAGATTTAATGTTCTATTTGCATGACGATTTTACTGTATTTTTCTGAGCAAACACCTGTTGTGTATGTGCCAGTTTGTTGGAATTTAACCTCCTCCCTCAAAGTTTTTCCCATCCTTGTCCCTGTTTTCCCTGCTCCTTTCATTCATTCCTGATGTGATTTTATGAGAGATTCCCACCAGTTTGGGAGGGAACACACCCCAGAGAGAACACAGCCCAATCGGCCTCATAAAAAACATTCTTCCTTCTTTCCAGTGCCCCCTCCCCTTGCCTCAAATATGGTCTCTCAGCTGCTTTTCAGGGTCATGTGCGTGAAAGGGGATGTGTTATATACCAAAGGCCTGCTCTTTCTAGTAGTCATCATATCTCTTAATTATTTAGAAACAGGAGTGAGGCCCCTCAAGACAGATCTCATAAGAGAAATGCTCACTACCATCCCTATGCCTTGGTTGCTTTTCCCCCAAAGCTACAAGCAAAGCTATTCTTGGGGAATAAGGAGTGCTTCAGCTGCAGGGAAACCTCTGATACGGTGGAAGCTTGATGTGGAGCAATCACTTAGAAGACCTCCCACTACCTTCCTCATTGATTGCAGGGAGCTCTGCATTAGGTCTGTCCTACCCCTCCTCTCCTGTGGGTCGTCCTGGCAGAGAACAGGGCATGATGAAACCTTTAAGGCCTCCGTGGCAGGAAAAAGCATGAAGAGACTGTCTGAAGTTTCTAAGCCCTGTTGGGCTTGGCTTGGCTTTGCAAGAGTCCTTCACCCCTGCCTTCTCCTAGTGCAAAATGGATCCATGGGGCAGAACCAAGACCAGCCCCTTTCACACTTTATTTATGTGTTGGTGACTCTTGTCAGGGAAAACAGGGGTTTAGTCACCTCACTGGAAAGTGCGGAGGGTGAAATATGAGGCTGGCCTTCCCTCTTACCCAGGAACAGGCTCAGTGTGGAGCCTGGGCTGGGTTCCTGCACACAGAATAGTGAAGGTGAGACCCTAGGCATGCTGCTCCTGTGGGGCAGAGCTCTTCCCCACCCCTTGCTGGTGCTGCCCTAGCCTATGCTTCAGTGCCACATTTCTCTCTCCCCACTCTTCCATGCTGAATAAATCCCTCCTGAGGCAGGTGTGAAATATTCATGACTGACAAATGAAGATTTATGTTGGGCTGAGGAGGCCTCTGTGTTTGCAATGCTAATCAGCCTGCTTTCCTGGAGGAGGCTCTGCCAGGCATGACTGGGGGAAGGAGGTGGAGATGCAGGAGGGAAGGGGAAAAGGAGCTGAGGAAGAGAGGAGGGGCAGACACAGCAGGGATGAGGAAGGTGTGGTGTGATCAAGGAATGGGGAGGCAAGGAGGGGACAGGTAGAAAGAGATGGAGAGGGTGGAGAAGAGGGACAGGTTGGAAAGAGATGGCTGCACTGGATAGAATGGGATGGTAAAAGAAGAAAGGGACCAGGAAGAGGAAGTGTTGAATGCAGAGGTGAAGGGTCTCTGAGGGGAGGTGGGGAGTAAGTCAGCAGTGCCTGAAGGAAAAAGCTGGGCAGAGTTCATGATGAGCTGTGGCCCCTCTCTGTAGGGCAGAGCTCAGCACTATGGGGGGGCAGCTGCTACATGGACAGGAGCTGGACCCAGGGCCCTGAAAGCACATTTGCCACGTTTGTTGCTGTCTGGAAAGCTCAGCTGCATCTGGAAGGACACACGCCTCCGGAAGCCTGGAGAACAACCCTTCCATCTCCTTCAGCACAAGCTGCGCACAAGACCCTCATGGAGCTGCGTCCTCTCGCTGGAGCCAGCCTGCTGCTGTCCCACCATCTGAGCAGGAGGGATCATCTTCAGGGTGGCTTGGTGTGGGATCGACACTGAGTGCCACCCTCCACTGGGCTATAGGAGTCTCTTGTAGGGCTGGTGGAGCCTGCCTCACTTCAGCTGCCCCCTGCCCACCCTGGGTGAGGCAGCTGGTTTTGGGTCTTTCCCCAAAGAAAGGGCAGAGGGGAGCATCTGTTGCCTCTGCCCTACACATGCAAGCATCCTGCACCCTGTCCCTCCAGCCGCTTTGGCCTTGTACTGTGAGGAGCATTTTTGGTCTGCCTCCCCTCAACTTCTCCTGCCACGTGCTGTGGGGAGATGTCTCTATACCTCTCCACACACAGTCCCACCAGGGCAACCCTCTGCAGGGCTGCTCCAACCCACTCCCCTGTCCCTGGGTGGAGAGAGGGCAATCTCTGCCCAGCTTCTCCTTCTCCCTCTGGGTGAGCACCTCCTCTCCTTGACCTGCCAGGACGTAAATCACTCCTTCTCCCCTTATGGTCCCCACTCTGCCCCATCCTTGCGCGTTTGGCTTGGCCTTTGCCTCCCCCATAACTACTACCACCACTGTGAGGCCTTGCTCTTGGGTGGCCTGACCTCACTGCCTGCTCTCCACCTTATCCAGGAGGAAGAGGAAGAGGCTGCCTGAGTCAGGTCAGATACTCCAGGGCTGGGTCAGCTGGTCCATCCACAAGCACAGCACCTGGGGCAAGGGGGTGGGAAGAAGCAGGCAGCTGCTGGGCACGGAGCCGGAGCTGGGGGTATCAGCCCTTGAATGTAAGGAAGGGCCTGGGAGGCAGCTGCTGGGACTGGCTCCTTGTGGCCTCTTTGGTGTTCCTCCTTCCATAACAACCCTGTGACCCCCCTGGTTGTGTATGGACAAATTTGAGTTGGAGTTTTTTTTGTTTTGTTTTGGTTTGTTTTTTTTTAAGATTTTTATTTCTTTATCTTTCTTTTTCTTTTTTGTTTCTTCTTTCTTTTCTTTTCCTGTTTTAAAATTGAATGGCACGAAATCATTTTTCCTCAACTCGGAGATTCCTGTATGGAGAAAATCAATTTCTATATTTGCAATAAATTTCTTATTAAAAAAAAAAAAAAGAACAAAAAAACCCCCCAAAAAACAACAGATAAAAAATATGAAAAGCTGCTTCTGAGTCCATTTGTCCCAGCCTTGTATTGTAGAGGAGGTGGGAGGGGAGGGAACTGAGAAAGCTGGGGTAGAGTCTGGGAGAAAGATTGTGGATTTTGCCAATCACCCAGTGATCATCTGCTCCCCCCAAACACAGTTTCTCTGCCCTTGGATATTGCCTTGTTTGGACACATCCTCATTTTTATTGAGTCATCAGTTCTGTCATGATACCAGTCCACTCCTGCACTGATGAGCACCCAGTTCATGCCCCATTCTGGGCATGCATACTGCACTGTCTGGGTGTAGGGCAGCACTTCCTCACCCATCCCCTGCACAACAAATTCTTAGTTGGCGGTGAGATGCATGTTCTGCCCAAGCTCCAGAGCTCTCTGAAGGAAAGGAGTCCAAGACAGGTGATTTGGCCATGGGTAATGACTGAGAAATTTGTAGCCTAATCCACCAGCAGATATATCCTGATCTCAGCTCTTCCTAAGCATCAATATTCAAAGACAACAATATTGCCAGCAAATCTGTGGCTACTGGTGCATTTACACATATAATTAGGGCAATTTGTGTATGGTGACATAACAGCCATTCCCTTGCATGTCTTGTCTCTTCTCCACCTCGTGTTTTTTCTTGTTCCTCCAAGAGTGGTACTGCTGCTTGGCTCAGAGGGTTTTTCTTTTGCCCTTGCACATCCAGCTCTGATCAGATGGGTTTAACAATAGCTTCTGAGCTTCCTTCTTGGGTGTGCTGAGCTCATGGCCTCTGCCCAGAATGTAGGGAGGGGCAGGAATAAACAATCCTAGGGAGTTGTATGGACACAACAGTGACTTTCAACTCCTGGATATATATGCATACCTGATATATGCAGTACCTGATGACGCTTATTAACACTTGAATTGATTTTAGAGCAGCCTTGGGGGCAGATGCTACTACAGGCAAATGCTTCACAGTCTGACATGTTCTTCGTTGGACTTAGGAAGAATGATTGAGTGTGGGAAGGAATGTTGCTGGTCTGTGCATCTCTGGGTGATGGACAATGGTGCATAACAAAAGAGGAGCTCTGCTGGTGTTAATCAGAGCTTCATGTGCTTGGTGGATAGCTGGATCTTTGGGTCGAGGTGGTGTTCCTGACATCTGCATCTCTGCAGTGCAGGGATATGGGCCTTCTGAGACAGAGAATCTCAACCCTTGGGAGGAATTAATGCATAAATTATAAAGAGGCCTAATCTAATCAGTAGAGTGCTCTCATGCTGTTTGTTTTGTTGCTAAATTCGATTTTGTCTTCACAGTCCCTCCCTGCATTTCACCTGGTTGCTCTGCCACAAGGATGAGAAAGGACAAGATGTATTTGCAAATGCTGTCTATGGGAGCAGGAAGTTTTGGGAAGGGAAGACTGCCTGGGCTGAAGTAATCACCAATGTCCTGAAGACAGGACTGTTAGGCTGGGTGGGGAGTGGGGACACTATATTCAGCCCTCTGGGCCAAAATGATCTGTGATGAAAGAGTTAAGCAGTACTTGTATTGAAGCAGCCTTTGGCTGATTCCAAAGACCTCTGCTCTGCACAGGGTTGTGTGAACTAGTGTGTGTGCGGGGAAGGGATGAGGTGTGAGTTATGTCTGGGAGTCTGCATTGTTCCCTCAAGTGCCTCTGAATATAACTGTGTCCAACTGACGCAGTCCCTGCAGCAAACCACACTGACCTCTGCCTCCAGAACCTGCTTGGTGGACCATGAAGACTGCTTCATGGAGTGGGAGAAAGACCCAGTGCTGCGCTGTGAACAGTGGAGTGGCTGCAGTGGACACTGTGATGGAGAGAGTCACCTGGGTGGCTGGTGTGAGCCAGCCTGCTGAGAAAATCCATCATGGAGAAGAACAGTGCAGCTTTGCATAGCCTCATGTTTTAGGCTGGCTTCAGACTCAGGAAGACCATTTTGTGTTGTCTTGTAGTTGGTTCATGCTGATGTGGTTCTTTTTCACCTCCATGAAGTTCAGTAACTTATTCAAAGCCATCATTTGCTGCAGCACAGGAAGAACTGACTTAGCCACAGAGCCTTTTGCTGGAAATCATAAGGGACAGTTGAGAATGTCTTGTGTATGTGTGTGCATGCGTGTACATGTGTTGTGAAACAGACAGGCAAGGGGGCAACATTGCCCTCTTCTGGACTGTCAGGACTGGAAGAATAACTCTAGTGGAATTGCAGCCTGGATGATGAATCCTGTTTCTGGGTAACATACTTTCTAAGCCTTAATTTCCTATCTAAATCCTGGTGGCTTTTACAATAGCCAAGTCAGACTAGGGGATACCACCACTCTCTGCAGCTCCTGTGCCTTGGGACCTTGAACAAGGGTGAATCCTCAGGGTTAGGCCAAGCCTAAGAGAGCAGAGTGAGGAATCTCTTCCCTCCAGATAATGTTGGAATTAATGGAACCAGTAACCAACAGCTGTGAAGGTCAGTGAGTGAATGGATGAGGGTGTGATGGTCGCACTACTGACATTTTTCCCAAGGGTTGTCTGTCAAGGGGAGGAGAGCAGTGCAGGCTAGGGAATGGTGAGGACAACATCTTTCCCCAGGTCTTGAATGCACTGTCAATTAAAACACAAAGGTGTGTGCCATGCAGGGCTGGAGGACAGACAGAGATCTACACAGAGCCCAGGGGGATTTTGGACTGTAAGTGCACAGGCCATGCCCATCCTTAGCAGGGGAGCAGAGGATGTCACTGAACAGCCTGTACATCTCCCTTCTCATCCTTGGAGGAAACACAAAGTGAAGGCAAACCCAAACAGCCTGAGTGTGAAGGATTTAGGAGTGAAAGGTTAAGAGAGATGGAAGGAGGACTCAAATACACAAGGAACATGTACACATGCATAGTTAAGATGGTGAATGGATTAGTATCACTCGTGCTGCACTATACGGCCAAACTCAAGGTTCTGCCACAGGCTTGGTGGGACTATGGCATGATGCAGAACTGCTCCA